AAGAGCCAGGAGATGGCAGTGTTTTCCAGGTGATAATTGGAGGTTGCATTTGTAGTAGTTGCTGGAGTAATGCTTTGTAATACCACTCAAAAGTCCTAAAATATAGGACCTAAAATACAGAAAATATATTGTTGTCCGTAACACCATTGAGCAAGGAATAAGCTGTTGCAGTTTCTGTAGTGCATTTTCATAGAAATCTATTTCTATGAAATCTATTTCTATTTCCTATCTGGAGTTTTGAATTTGACTTTTTGTTAGGAGGTAACATTTAACAAATCCAACTCATACCAGGCATTTATTCAAGAAACAGACAAAAACACTTGATCAAACCAAATCTTAGTATTAGATTATGGCCATGAGCAAATTGTTGATGTTTATATATAAATGGAAGTAACTTTTATTTTTCTTTATAGTAAACGTAACATATTTGCTGTTTTTTTTTTTTAAATCAAACTCTACTAAACAAAGTAGAAGAAAAATAATAAAAATACTGATGTGACAGTTCTAAGTAGAATAATTGTTAACATTTTGGCAGATATAAGTATAGAAATGCATACCTACATAGATAAAAAAAATGAACTATCATTAGACTTAGGTAATATTTTGTTACTCTAACAAGCATTATGGATCTGTCTGAGCCCTTGTAGTTTTATACTTTATAAAATACATTTATCAGTATATTATATGAGACTTGTACTTTATTTAAGCAGTTCTTTTTAGATGGACTTACAGATTGTCATATTTTTAGCAGAATTTCTGTGTATAGTCTTGTTTATAATTTGCTCAGTTCAGTTGTTTATCAAGATGCATGTTTATTACCAAGCTTGACTACAATTTCATATATGTATATTGACATTTTAAATTACTTGAATAATCATGAAGAAATTTTTTTCCAAATTTAAGAGAATTTTTGGTTTACTCGCACCTTTGTCAGCACTACTTGGTGTTTACCAGTATGAATAAATGCTATCTTATTCTTTTGTTAGCATTTTCTCAGTTGCTCATAAGTTTAATATGTGTATGTGTGAGTGTATACAGAGAACTTATAAATACTAACTTAATCTAAGAAAAATAATAATGGAATTTAAATATTACCAAAAGCAAGGGATCAATGAAAACATTGTATATCCAACTTTAGTAATACCTAAAACACTGGGTTGCAGTAGCCTTGAGTATTTATGCAAGAAAAGAGGAAAAAATAAAATTACATAGTAAGCATTCACCTTATTTTCCAATATAAGAAGTTAGGCAGATAATTAAACAGAGAGGATCAAATGCTTATGGTTTTGTTCTTTGAAGAAAGTCGTAAAGCCTTTCAGCAAAATTGAGGGAAACAAAAAAGCACAAATAAGGGATACTAGAATTAAAAAGGATTTAACTGTACCAAAACAAATTTTTAAAGATTGTTATGAAAACCATGAAGAATTACATGCCAAATTAAGTTAAAATACTTAACAATAGAAAATTTCCTAGGAATATTTAGTTTAGCAAAACTGATTAAAGAATTAGGACATCATTTGTATTAAAAACTCTTTAAAAAACTGAATTAGTGTTCTAGAAATCTGTCTAGCAAACAAGCAAGAAACAGGTCCACATAATTTTAAAATAAGGTCTTCTGAACTGTCTTCCAGAGAATTTAAGAATGAAAAGAAATTCCTGACTTGTCCAATGTGTCTAGCATAATCTCCAGACCCAAACCAGATAGGACAGTATAAGAAAAGACTAGTATAGGCTAATTCTACTTCTGAATATAGGTGTAGCAGTCCTAAATGAAGTATTAGCAAATCAGATACATCAGTATATTTTTCAAAAATTATGACTTAATTCCTTTTGGGACATAATATGTATACATGTAAAAAAAATTAAGAAAAATGTATAAGAATGATAAAAATTGATAGTAGAAGTTTACTGTGGAGAGGAGGAGGGATGAGAATGTGATAACAGGAGAAGTACCTTCAGGGAAACATAAATTGTGAGGTTTAATTTTGAAGGTGAATGGTGGGTACATAGATGTCCATTGTAATATTCTTTTTGCTCTTTCATATATATTAAATATTTCACGCAGTAATACTTCAGTTAGCAGGCTTGACAACTTGTGAGTTACTTTAAAATACCTGATGATCATTATTATCCAAAGTACATGTGTGAAGACATGAATTGGTGTGAATACAGTATGTATACAACCAGAGATATGAAAAATTGTGCTCTATATGTGTAATAAGAGTTGTAATGCATTCTGCTGTCATATAAATAAAAAATACCTCATTTTCTGTAGAATGGCTTAAATATTCCTTTTGGAGCCATACAAACTAGTAAAAAAATAAGTATAATAGCATACTTTTCATACACATTTTCATGGATATTGTGTTAAAGGGCTTGTTGGGAAGAAGAAGGTTCTTTCACATTCATATGAAAATAGGTGGCTTTGGTAATGTTTTCAGCCTTGCTAACAAGTTCTTTTTTTTTTTTTTTCATTCCTAGAATAAAAAGAAATTGTTTAGATATAGATATGGGGTTGAAATGTTGGATTTTATACCATTCCTTTCCAAATAATAATTGAACATTTACACTTTGCCAGATGCAGTGTTGAGCTGTGGGCACTTACGGACACATACCATATGTAATATGTAATACCACATTTAAGATGTGGTATTTGACCTCAAGAAGCTTAAAATTTGTGGGAAATAGATGATCTAGGTGCCAAATCATAGATAACATAATAGAGGCAATTTGGAATATTTCTTCCCAAGTAGGAATTAGTTTTTACCATTTTCTTATAACTATTTTGTTGTTTTATTTTAAGCAAAGTTATATGTGTATATTTTCAGGAGTAACGTAAGCATTTTGGACTACTAATATTCATGTAGACATTTTTAACCCTCTGATATATTATTTACACTTAAAACTGGAAGAGATAAAATAGGCCCCTAGATGCTTTGTAGAAATTGAAATTTGTCTGTTTCACTGGACTGCCTTTCTAGTTACCCTTTTTAAAAAGGGTATATGTTTAAGAAGCTATAGTATTGTCTGAACCTGCATGCCAGTTTACCTGTCTAAAATATAACCACTTTATAATTTAAAATGAACTATTCCTATGACTTCATTTTTAGAATTTAAGTTGCTGGCATGTAAAAACCGTTGTCAATCTTGGATTAATTTCAAGGCTTCTTTGCATTCATAAAGATTTATTTTACCTCGTATTTCCTATGTTTTTAATCCTACATATTGTCCTTGTATGGTTCCCCTCAGGCAATTTAGTAGCTTTAAAACTTCAAGTAGTAAATCTGAGTCAGTTTGTTTTAACCTGTTTGAGATATATATATATTTTAAAGTATGTCATGAAACAGTAAACTTTATTTATTCTTCATTTAAAGTTTCTCCTTAAGTATTTGGTTTTTGTAGCCTCAGAGCTTTGTAGCAGCTTATATTGGGCCACATATAACAAAAACTCAAAATGAGGGGAATTGATTTTCTCTCACACATATGAGATCTAGAGTTAGGAAGTACAGAAATAATAAGAGCACAGCATCAGGAGCAGGCTTCTTCTGTCTCATCTCATTGTTCCATGGTCCCAAATGGCTACTTCAGCTTTAGCACTCATAACCAAATTCCAGGCAGCAAGAATGAAGGACAGAAAGGCAAAGGAATCCTTGGTGGCTTAGCTTGTCATTCTAAGCAGACATCCCAGGAAACAGTAACCATTTTATTTGTATATCATGAACCAGAACATAGTCTTGTGGCCACTTGACTGTGTCCGTAGCCAAGGAGCCTGAATTCTCTAGTATTTTATTTCTATTACAGTCTACCCAGCTAGACATCTGGTCATTATAAAGGAAGAGTAAAATTGATGTTAGAATGAGCACCCTAGAGCCTCTGCCTCACAGTTATTTCACAGTTTTTGTAGGAAAAAGCTTGGTAGTGATCAGATGGCTTGATAAATTGGCTATAGTATAATCATGGCAAGTGATATGAGGAAATCTCTGATCTGCCTGTTGATTTGAACTTTCATCAACAGCCACTATCATTTACTGTGTTGTTATTTTCCAAATATATGTGTTTCCTACTTTTCATACATTATTATCATTTTCAAAAATTTTTATTCTAATCTGGGGATTGAACTAGGGCTTCATGGTTTTAAGCAGCACTCTACCACTGTGCGACACCCCCAGCCCTCTCATTCAGTTTTTATGCAATATTCACACCACTCTGGTAGGCACTATTTCATGTTACAAATGACAGCACTAAGGCACAGCAGTCCACTGCCACCCTCGCCCCACCTCGTGTACGTAGAAATAACTTGGGGTAGCTCAGACATACACACGAAACAAAAACAAAATTATATTCACAGTAAAGGGAATATGGGAATGTAAAAGCAAATCTAGTGAAGTGTGGGAACAATTGATAGAAAATTAAATGTGGTTTTATAGAGATGGTAAGTAGACTTGCTCTGTCTTGTTTATCTGCTTTATTAGAAACTAAAAGGCAAAAAAAGAAGGAATTTTCTCTTTGATCTCTTGGCATGCTTATTGTTTTAGTCATATAATAACTCAAATGCTTGTATAGAAAGTTTTTCATATTTTGTCTTCAAAGTATCATAAAATAATCATAGTATATTATTATATTTGCTGATTTGTATGTATGGAAGGTGAGAGTTAGAAAAGGCAGATATCCATTGTTTATTTTTTAAAATGCTAAAACCCAAATAGCATTTTTTAGCTGGCTATAGATCATGTGCTCAGTAAAAAGTAGGGCTTGCCTATTTATTTATATCAATGCTGTTATCATAGGAGTCTTGTAAAATTAATACTGGTTTTGCATAACTATTTGTTAGAGCTTTGCTTATACACACAAGTATGTGAGCTCCTTGAGGACAACACAGTTTGCCTTATTCATTTTTTTTCCTCTAGTGTCCTTGGCATAACAGGAAGTATCAGTGAGTAAAGAATTAATGAATGCCTAGTAAAGGAGTTTAATGACTTTTATTTTGTTTTATTTCTCAGGATGTGATCTTCGTGGCCAGAAGCTAAGTTTTAAACTACCCCAATGGATGCAGACAGTGATGTTGCATTGGACATTCTAATTACAAATGTAGTCTGTGTTTTTAGAACAAGATGCCATTTGAACTTAAGAAAGATTGCTTTGGAGGGAGCAAATGTAATTTATAAGCGTGATGTTGGGGTAAGTATTTGAATTTTGTATGTGTACTATCATAACCTAATTTTATACTTCCATGAATGATACTACAGATAGTTTATGAATACCTTACTATGTGCTAGTTGTACTCCATAGGTTGTTGAGTCCTGAAGACAATGGCCCCTCCTCTCATGGAGGTAGCAAATTTTGGAAATTACCTATCTTTGAGTCTTAGCAAAGAATTCATTGGTTAGACATGTTATTCTCTCAGTTTTTTAAAAATAATTAGATATGTGTTTATTAGACTTTTATCTGGCTCTGCTGACATATGTTTCACTCAGAAAGATAGCATTCTTTAAGAAAGCGTCATTAGAACTGCTAAAATTATCCTCAGAAATAATTCTAAAGATTGTTTACCAGTCATCCATCACTACTTTGATAATATTTCTGGTTTGTAATTTATCTGCAAAGCACCTTTTACTTGTAAAATGAGAAATCACGATTCCTGTATATACTTCTATCAGGATTTTTGGTAAATTTATACATCTATACCTGTATAGATATATACATTTCTTTGTGTATTCATATAACTCAGTTGAATCTACAAAAAGGCTGTGAATTTTAGGAAGATTTTACTGCCAAGGTGACAAATCATCACTGATTCTCTTGCAATTTCAACTCTAGAATCTAGGCTAGGGCTGGGGGAGTAGGCATGTGTGGATGGAGAGGGAGAAAAATGTGTTTCCTTAGTGTTCTTACAGCTTGTTCAACAGGCAGATCTCTCAATGTCTTTGAACTGAAGAAAGGGACCTTTATATTTCAAATGTACTTAAATTTAATTATATTTGAATAGTGCTCTAATATATACTTTTTGATGTTTGCACATCAGGAGCTTTGGAGAAGCTGTGTCTTACATTTGGAACATTCTTCCCTCAGTATCTTCACTGCATTCTGATCTCTCACCACACATGACTTCCATACCGACCCTGATCAATCTATGGCAACACCTATTCCTTCACTGTTCTCTAATTTGTAGCCCTGCTTTATTCTGCTTCATGGTACCCATCACTACATTATATTGCATCCTAGAGTTGAGATGCCTGTTACATACTCAAGCTCCTCACTGAAATCTTCAGAGCAAGAAAAATGTCAGAGCGAGAAATGTAATTTTAGATTCCTTATATATAAAAGGCATTTAAAGGTCTGGGATAGAACAAAATTATTTACACAGTCTGAATTAATAGGTCAAGGATTAAGGTCTAAGATAATATGTAAATTTAAATTTTCATTTTAACTTTTCATTTATGGAAATACTTATTACATGCCCATTATTATGTGTAAGAAAGAAATAAATGCTTACTGGGATAAAGTAATATAATAAATCAGGCATGTCTCCTTAAAACTCTAGTTACATTTTTAGTTTTTTTGTCATAGGCAATATTATCAAATTAGAACATTACTAAATTTGGAGAGACTTAAAACTGCCAAAAATGACAATAAATAAAATACCTTATAAAATTTCATACACGACTGACTGACTGAGAAACATTGGACTGAGTTTATATTGCATTTAAATGTTTCTCACCACCAGTTTCTCCATCACCTAAAACTTCTCAGTCAACCTTCCTAGAAAAAAAAAATCTCTCCATGTCATCATGCTAAAATACTAGAGCAATGTTTCACACTTTCCTTTCTAAAAGATCCATGAAAGTTCCATTGATATGACTAGAGTAGAAAGAGTTGAACTGTTTATGTTTTTATAGTTTGTTGATACCAAGTATGTAGTGAGAGATTTATGTAGATCTTGTTTTTTAATTAATTAAATATTTAATGAGATTAATTGTGTTCTCTATTCAGTCTTGAACTAAATTTCATTTTGGGTGATTTAGAGAGAAGTTAACTTTGAATAAGCTTGGAATAATACTTAGACATTGGCATGGCTATACAAAATAGAACCATACATGAAAATTAACAATCATTAGGTAATCAGATTATTTTTTTTCAGAAAGTATTAATGAAGCTTAGAAAACCTAGAATTACAGCTACAATTTGGTCCTCAGGAAAAATCATTTGCACTGGAGCAACAAGGTAAATGTTTCTTGGGTTCTTAGTTTTTTATTTTTTACTTTCCCCCATGGAAAGGGTGCTTTTCGTAGACTTAAAAACAAAGTTCTATGTAAAGTTGGTTATGTTCCTCAGTGTGAAGTATTTTTTCCTGTGTAACTTGGTCTTTTTCTTTCCTTAAAACATAGCGAAGAAGAAGCTAAATTTGGTGCCAGACGTTTAGCCCGCAGTCTGCAGAAATTAGGTTTTCAGGTAACATTTTCAAAAATTACACAAAACTGCAAATATTCAAGGATTTATTTTTGTAAAATAGAATTCGTATGATTGACTTTTTCTGAGTTTTATATACTGCCCTTCAGCATGAAAATTTGGTAGCAAAACTTGGCTGTGTGGATATTTTAAAAAGATCCTGGCTTTTCCTAATCTCCTTTCCTATAAAGAAACTTGTTCCCTTTCAAGTTAATTGTCAAAAATGCCAGGTCAAAATGATGAGCTGAGACCTGCAAGGCCCTGGTGATGTGGACACACTGGTTAGCAGGCTTATTGCTGTCGGCCTTTTCAAATATTTGTACAAACAAAACTTTGAAATAAATTATTATTTATTATGAACCTGCTAGGTCACTTGCAAATGATGACTAAGTGGAAGAGAAGGGCGAAATAGTCCTTGAAGGTGTGGGCCAGGCTGTTTGGGATTTGGATGTTTATAGTGTTGGGAAGTTTAGTTTCTTTCTGATGACCTTAAGTCTTAGAAGGAGCTGAACTGCTGGTGGGGAGTGGGGGTGGGGAGTGGGCAGGGTCTGGGGGATGCTGGCACTTGAGGAGAGTGGCAGTAGAAGTCTAAAGGTGAAGCTATGTGATAGTGAGGCCATTTGACACTTTTCTGGCTTTCTACTGCTTTGTGTAAGTAATACTGACTTGGAGGATAGACAGTGCACCCAAAATTGTGGTTTTAGGAGGAATGTTGGAAAAGATAAGGAGATGAAACAATTCAAGATGTTGGTAGGAGTGGCTGAAGTTATTAATGTGAAGAGAACATTTTCAGCCTGGGAACTGCTTTTCTTAGAATAGCATTAGAAACACTGAGGGCAAACCCAGCTTTTTAAAAACAGTGTATCATTCTAGCCCCCAAGGAAAATAAACCTCTAGTTACATTCAAGGAAATGTCTTTTTACCTTAATGAATATTAGAAAGACATCTGACCTTTGGAATCCAATGTACAATCTCTCCATTTACTGACTTTTTAAAGTGACAGCTTTTCCATTTTGACTCCTTTAAAAAGGAAGAATTAATTTAACTTTTTTCTTTACTATTTCTTGCTTTAATTTTTTTCCTTACTATTCTTGTTTCTTTGATAGTTCAAACTGTCTCATTTAAATTAACAAATTATATACAAGATTTAAAAATCCTCAAATGTGCCATTTTAATCATGCAGATATCTCAGATTTTACTATTTTTTTAAATGAAGTTTTTGAGCTTTTTTTCTTTCATTGAATTACAGCTTTTAATACTAAACAACTTATAATACTAAATTCATGCTCAGGATGTTTGGTTCTCTATATAAGAGTAGAAAGTTAATAAAGAGTGCCATGATGAGCAGATTCTTTTGTTGCAAAATAATTCACTGAGTTTCACTTCTCTCCCAAAGGTAATATTTACAGATTTTAAGGTTGTTAATGTTTTGGCAGTTTGTAACATGCCCTTTGAAATCCGTTTGCCAGAATTCACAAAGAACAATAGACCTCATGCCAGGTAGGTCTTTGAAGAATCAAGATAACTTAAAAATTTGAGATTACCCATCAGACTGTAAATATTCATATTAATTTTGGCATTTTTAAAATGTAGTTATGAACCTGAACTTCATCCTGCTGTGTGCTATCGGATAAAATCTCTAAGAGCTACATTACAGATTTTTTCAACAGGAAGTATCACAGTAACAGGTAATGTGTGATATTGAAACCAAACTTGTCAATTACAGACCAAATAATATAAGAGATGTGTACACTAAGATAGAATTAATGTCTAATTTGTCCCCTTTCAGTCACTACTTCTGCACTTCAAGGGCAGTAAGTCTTCTGACCTTTTTTTTTTTTTTTTAAAGAGAGACTTTTTTAATATTTATTTTTTAGTTTTTTCGGTGGACATAACATCTTTATTTTATTTTTATGTGGTGTTGAGGATCGAACCCAGCACCCCGCACATGCTAGGCGAGCGCGTTACCACTTGAGCCACATCCCCAGCCCTAAGTCTTCTTTTTACCTTATAGATAAGTCTTCCCTCCTTTTGTACTATTTGTACATTTTATATCCTGTTTTGTGTCTAATTTCATTCTCCATTATCTTAGTGAGATCATTCATTCTCATTGTTGTATAGAATCCAATGTCCGAATGTACTCCATAGGCGTTTCATTAGTTTTCAGATTGGAGCTTTTAAGAACATTCTAATATGTATCTTCATAGTATTTTTTTAAATTTATGATATCTTATAAAATACCAAAGAGAAACCCAGTCTCTGAATTTCATAGAGATTTTTACATAATTAGAATATCCAAATATAGTTGGTACCTATTTGTTACATGTGTTTTGTTATATCTTTTGAAATTAAAACAAGTATTTGGGAAGGAGTAGTTTTGGGAGACTAGCAAACATGTCAAAGGGCAGCATTAGCATACAAGATGATTCTTAAAGGTGCTGTGATTGTGAATCAAGCAGAGGCATTGCATGAGAGCCAGTAGGTGCATGTTAGGCAAAATTGAGTTGAGGAACAATTCTTTAGTCTTGGAAAATGGCTTTTTATTCCTTTAATTCTTAGAAGAGAAACATTAACAAGTAAATTTTAATTTTGACCATCTGTGGGTTTTCACATCTTCCTTGGGGACTTTTAAAGCCAATTGCCAGGATCCTGCCTGAATCTTAAAAACAGGGTGGTGGAGAACAAGTCTGTTTGTTCCCTTTCAGCTATCTGTTTCTATACTTTGGAGCCTGAACTTCTAAGAATATCCACAATGTACTGTTAAGTCCTGCTAAGTATAGAGTTAACAACTCATATGTAAAAATCTGTTTATTGAGTTGATGGACAATTAGACAATATAACAACAAATTGAATACAGTCGACCTAGTTAATTACCATGCAATATACATGGACACCTGGAATATCCTGTGAAATGTTAACAATTCAGTGAAACACCTTCTGAGTGGTTTCTGTGAGGAAAGTTCTATTCTATATGGAGGGGGTGAGGTGAGGTGAGTCAGAAAAGAGACCAATACAAGATATGTTCAAAACCTTCAGAGTCTACAATGAGTGGATCTGTAAATATTCACAGTTTTTCAAAATGGGTAATTATACATTGGTGAAACCATTTTATTCGAAATTTTGTGAAAATATTTTTATACCTTTTTTTTGTTTGTTTTTAGCTACTTAAATAAATAAAAGATTATATTTTTAAAAGTTGTTCCAGAGCTGTACAGGTTAATTTATATGTAGCATTACCTCACTGCCTTCCCCACTCATTGATTTGGATAAACTCTGAGGTTACAGGGACCAAATTAGTAATAAAAATGCATTCCAAGTAGTAGTAAATTTATGAGGAATTTTAGACTACATAGTATAAAAAAGCCAATATTTCAATAGCAACTTTATTTTACTTTGCTATGTTCCTCCATATTCCTCTGAGTCTCAGTTGTAGTCTAACCAAAAGCCAGAAAACAGTAACCAAAAAAGATAGTGGGTGTCTAGTTCTGTGTATTATTCTTCCCTGTGCATATTTTTGTGCTTTTTATTCTCCTCCGTAGTTTTGTTTGTTTATTTTTACTTCTTTTCATACTGGTACCCTAAAACAAAATGAATAACACATTTGATATTTCAGATTTCTTTTAATTATGCACACACAAAAAATTGTGTTCTCTGATTCTTATTAAAATTTTTTTCTTGATTCTTTTTGTGGTTGTTTGTATGATGATGTATGTGAATTTGATATTCTAAAGTAGATGATATTTTTAACTGAAAAATCAGTATTTCCTAGCTTCTCAGCTCTTCTCAACCTTTTCAATTGTGTTCATTTCAGGGCCCAATGTAAAGGCTGTGGCTACTGCTGTGGAACAAATATACCCATTTGTGTTTGAAAGCAGGAAAGAAATTTTATAACTCATCACTTAATTGGTTAGAATCTCTAACTGAGCACCTTTTAAAACCTGCTGCACATTGGACTCAAAGCAAAAGGAAAACTGGACCAACAGTAATTGAGGAAATAGACTCTTTTATTCACTCACAGCTACAGTGTAAGCTCCAGTCCCTTTGGATTTTATTTCAAACTTTGCTGTAATATAAAAAGGAAGTTTACAAGACATGACATTGCTGCTTTTACAAAAGGACATTCTATTTATTTTCGCAGTAATTCTCATGTCCCCATAAGCAGAGCTGTCACAATGTGCACTACCTTAAATTGTTTTATTGTTGTCATTGTAATTTTTTTCCAGTTTGAGCTAATGTGTTTTATTTGTGAATAGTCTTTTACATTTTTGTATGCTGAATATGGGCACCAAAGAACCTGTAAAAGTTATCTTTTTCAATTGAATGTGCACAAATAAAAGTTTGGAAAAGATCTTTATTCATATCCATTCTGTAACTTTTATTCCCCATTTTCTATTTTAACAAAAATTGTATTCATAATTCTTTTTTTTTAAATCTATGCAAGTTTAGACTTCGGCTAAAGTGTGTTAGCTTATTTTTGAAGTGTATTTTGTATATATATATATATGTATATGCTGTGTGTGTAAAGTATCTTCATGCTCTGTTACCAAATAACAAATAGGAAATTTTTTTCTTGGGGATTAGAAGTAAACACTTGTATATACTCTAGGGAACTGGGTAGGACTTTATAAAGGATAATGTTTTATGTTACTAATTTAATATGATAGAAAATGTTAAATAACTTTTAAGAGTTAAGAAATTGTAGTTTTTAAAAAAGAAGCCTCTTTCCCACTAGATGAATATGAGAAAGAAGCTGTGATGGGTGGTACCTCATCTGTTACCTTTGTTATTCTGAAGAGACTCTGTAGTTGTAGGGAAGTGATTAAGGTTCTTGGTGCTCAAGGCTATATTAAGAGTCCTGTCAGAAGTTGATAACATTGTGTAGTTTTAACAAGAAGTGCCCACAAGCTGCCTCTGTGCCACAGTATAATTATAATATAGTTGAACTTGAACTTGAAAGCCATTTTGCAAGTTATGTCTTTCCCTTTACTGTGTCTTATTTAATGGAGCTAAAGAGTGGCAATTCAGTGTATAGGATTGCAATGCTTAAAATTATTATAAATAAGTGTTTATGAAGCAGTGGCCCCTGGCTCACCCTGAGCCTTGGAATGGTAGCACAGGATCGATCAGTCTGCAGTTGCACTCTTCTTACATTTAGGAGTTTAGCATAATTAACAGTGGTTTTACCAAGAAATACAGCTGTGTAGAATTGAATCAGCTTCTCGGTAGAAATTTAGTAAAATCAGTATTCCAACAGTGTCCCGAAAACCTGAATTACCAAAATGTCTTGAAACATTTGTAAAATCTTACAACATCTGAACCTTCATGTTCAGTACATTTTCCATACCATATTATAAAACCTTGAAAACCTAGCTTAAGCACTGCACTGAACAATATATTTTCTGTTTATTTTTATCTTCTTTCTCTCAAAGCCTTCCCCTACCCTGTCACTCCCTCAAATGTAGGAGGCAAAAGCTAACTTTTATACTTTATTTCTTATGAAAGATTCAAGTGTGTGTTTTAGAATTTTATTCTTTTTTTCCCCTACATTTGTGTTTATTTGCTTCATTTCAAGATCAGTAGGATAGCTAAACTCATAAATACAAAGAATATTACTAGATGAAAGAATTATAGGTAGACTTTTTTAAATTTGAGATTTTTCCACTTAGTTTTAATAAACAGTCATAAGTAAACTGTCCTGCAGTGTTCACAAAAAAGAGTAGGGGGGAAAGAATTATACAACTAAGGTGCAGATCCAGGTAATTTAACATTTTCAGTATTCAGATGACTTGAGAACCTTGCAGATCAGTAGAAATGAAAATGCTTTATCTGATGGAGAGGAAAGCTAGCCTGAACAAGTCTGGATTTAGGTTGCTACATGTATGCTCACCACCTGGCAGTGTTTGTGGGTGATCCACTAAGTATGACAAAGCTGGGAAGAAGCAAGTGTGTCTGATGTCTTCTGGCTTTCCACAAGTACTGTACATTTTTTATATAAATAAAAGCTGTGAATATATACATACAAATTATAAGTATTACCCCCTTTTTATTTTTGAAAACCAAAAGGCTTCATTTGGTGGGTGTGGGGGACAGGTATTGGGTAAAAATGAATCTGAAGACAAAATGGCCTGCTCACAGACTCAGGATGATAAAAGGAAAATATAAGAGAATGTTTAAGACACTGAAGTTGAAGTCACAAGTAGTAAACCATCTTGGTTTATTTTCTGCCCATTTGCAATGAATGGCTAAACCAAGAAATAGCTTAAGTATAAATGGTGTTTGAACTTGAAAGGAATTACGTTACAATTAAAAAAAAAAAAATACCTTAAACAATCTGTGATGCTTAGAAAAAAACAAACAAAACCAAGATAACATGAAAACCTGACTTGTATTTTTAAAATCCTGGCATGTAACTCTTAAGTTAAACTGCAGAACACATTTTGCCTTCTTGTTCCAAAACAAAAGCACACTCTAATTTGCATATGAGGGAATCAATATCTATTTTGCTCCTTCCTGCCAACTTTTAATTTAGATGGTACATCTCAGAACCAGACTTTTAGTCATTTTCCTGAGTCTTTGATATTAATGATTTACTATTTATATAGATTTATAGTCTTTCCCACTTTTTAAATGAATTTAGTAGATCATGTACCTTTTATCAAACTGGGACAGTTTGTTAGCTAAATACTGGGGTTTTGATACGTAGAATTCTCTTATGATCAATCATTTTTAAAAATTATTTTTCAAGTTAGGTTGTTCATGCATTAAAAGTTTTTGTGTGTCTTCCATAGTTTATATTAGTAATCTAATGGGTTTCTACTTAAGTGGTTCTAGATTCTTTATTATGGATTTTCTTTCATTCTGAATTCTCTTGATGAAATACCTTATCTAGTCTTAAATTCAACTGGAGAAATGCAGAATAGAGCAATTCATTACTGTTGGGTAAAAAACCCACTGGATGTTTGCTGGTTTGGTTGGCCATCTCTTGTTTCATCACAGAGAAGAACATAGGGAATTGTCCTAATTTCTGAATGTCATTTATTATGTCTGTATTGTTCTGAACGTCAGCATCATTTATAGCCTCTCTGCCATAACCTGAGGTAGAGATATTCCTGAGACATGGGAGGAATTGCAGGAAACCATGGATTACTAAAAATTATGAGAGTCTTCCAAGGAGAAAATTTATAGGTTTGACCTAATAACATAAACCTAATTGCTTAGAGATTTAGATAAATAACCTAAAGGACTGATTCCTTTTCTGGTGTTTTACTAATAGCTACTTCTAAATAAATATGGTCCCAAGATTTTAAAATTTTCCTCTTTAATCATTTAAAAAAATGGAAAATGCTTATTTTTCTCAAGTATTACACAGAATTGTCTTTTAATATTTTATATTAACATGAAAGTCATAATAGTAGTATATTTTGCATTAAATTTTACTTCATAATTCATAAGATAAGCTCCCATAATCTTTATTCTTGTAGAACTGTAACTAGGAATTACCACAAAATCCTAGCCGGGAGCCTATCCTAATCTAGAACACGTGTGTAACTAAATTGTCTACATTGCGTGTCCTGGTTCTTTTTTACATGAGACCCAGTGCAAATAGTATCTTAGTAGGCAAAAATGTAAGCTTGGATCCAGAAAACTTGTGTTTCTGAATAATAAAGCTGCAACTGGCCTCCATACATAGCTTAAGGCAAAGGTTGATCTCTTTACTAGGATTTAGTCTTTAAAAGCCTGCGGTGTGAAGGAGAAAGTATTGAACCAGCCAGTATTTTCTTTAACCTGATATCTTGCTCAAAAAAAAAAAAAAAAATTAGGGCCATGTATCTCATCTACCTTTTGAGATTCCTTTGGGGAAGAGGGAATTAAAGGAAGTCTATAATTTCAGGTGTCCCTTTAAAAATAGCTTACGACACTGAATAAAAACCTGGGCGTGGGGAGAGGAGGGTAAATATGCCACTGGTAGTGCTTTCATCCTGTATCAGCATTCCTAAGGCCTTGAGGCCATTAGGTCTCTGGAGAAAGCTGCTTTGGTTGTCCCCTTCCACACAGCTTTTTACACTCCAGGAGCTGCTCTTGGGGTTTTCTTTTTTGAAGCTGTGTTGGCATTAATTCTTCTTGGTGATGACTCATAAAACAAATGTTGTTTTTCACATAGTTCCTGAAAGAGAAAGAAGCACTCATGAAAATGTCATTCTTAGTTTCCATACTTGAAAAAAATAGGCATGCTTTTATTTTTTAAATCACCCTGGAGTTTTAATGTTTTAGCTATGCAAAAATGTTTTATTGTGAAGCCTCTTATATCATGAAATATATAAACCCTAGAACCTGGGTCAATTTCTTGCAAAAAGTAAGGTGTAAGTTAGGGTGTGTTCTCAGAACACAACTCCTATGACTCTGCAGGCCAGGCTTCCAAGGGTTAGAAAGAGAACCAGTGAGGGCTGGGGATTTAGCTCATTTGGTAGAGCTCTTGCCTCACATGTACAAGGCCCTGGGTTCAATCCTTAGTACTGCAAAAAATAAAAAATAACTAGTGGAGATTTTATCCCAAGTCCTATCTCATTTTCTTCCATTTCTCCGATTCCACCACTACGCCTGTATTTACATCTATATATTTTGGCTTCTTTATTATCCACTCATTTCTGCATGAATAAGTTCTTTTCTATAAGGTTATTCCCACCAGCATAAAATATGCTTTAGTATTTTATCTTTATTTTACAAATATCTTTCAAATATCTTTTTTCTATAATTTAACCACTTAATCAAGTGGCTGTGCCCTGGTAGGTGGTAAGGATGGAACTGCATAAAGACTCCTGCTTTCAAAGCTTAGGTTTTCCCAGCATGTAAGCATATAATTTAAGTAAAAGTGCTGGTGGGAAAAGTAAGCAGTAAAAAGGGAAAAGAATGACTTTGGGGGAGAGATTGTATTATACAGTAACATGGGGCCGGGCACAGTGGCACACTCCTGCAATCCCAGTGGCTTAGGAGGTTGAGGCAGGAGAATCATAAGTTCAAAGTTAGAGGCCCTCACCATTTGACCCAGCTATTCCCCTTCTCGGTCTATTCCCTAAAGACCTAAATAGAGCATGCTACAGGGACACTGCTACATCGATGTTCATAGCAGCACAATTCACAATAGCTAGACTGTGGAACCAACCTAGATGCCCTTCAATGGATGAATGGATAAAAAAAATGTGGCATTTATACACAATGGAGTATTACTCTGCATTAAAAAATGACAAAATCATAGAATTTACAGGGAAATGGATGGCATTAGAGCAGATTATGCTAAATGAAGCTAGCCAATCCCTAAAAAACAAATGCCAAATGTCTTCTTTGATATAAGGAGAGTAACTAAGAACAGAGTAGGGTCGAAGAGCATGAGAAGAAGATTAACATTAAACAGGGATGAGAGGTGGGAGGGAAAGGGAGAGAGAAGGGAAAATGCATGGAAATGGAAGGAGACCCTCAGAGTTATACAAAAGTACATACAAGAGGAAGTGAGGGGAAGGGGAAAAATAATACAAGGGGGACAAACGAATGTCAGTAGAGGGGGCAGAGAGAGAAGAGGGGAGGGGAGGGGAGGGGAGGGGGGATAGTAGAGGATAGGAAAGGCAGCAGAATACAACAGACACTAGTATGGCAATATGTAAATCAATGGATGTGTAACTGATGTGATTCTGCAATCTGTATATGGGGTAAAAATGGGAGCTCATAACCCACTTGAATCAAATTGTGAAATATGATATATCAAGAACTATGTAATGTTTTGAACAGCCAACAATAAAAAATTAAAAAAAAAAAAAACAAAAACAAAGTTAGAAGCCCTAAGCAATTTAGCAAGACCCTGTCTCCAAATAAACATAAAAAAGGGATGGGGATGTGGCTCAGTGGTTAAGTGCCCCTGGGTTAAACCCTGGGTAGGGGAGGGGAGGATTAGGTCAGAAACTGGGATAAGAATTCCAGAGAACTGAAAGGTACAAGCAGGGATATTGGTTGGTGCTTGGGAATTTGAGTCCAGGGAAGTTTTTTTTTGTTTTTTTGTTTTTTTTTTTTTTAGTGCAGAATAGTGCAGTTTTTTGTGTGAGAAAAAATCCCACCAAAGAGGAGATGGATGGTAGTGGGTCTGTGCACAAATGAAAGCACGGGCCTTTGCATCACAGCAGAGTAGGCACAGATGTGGGTAGGTTAGTAGATCTCATGGCAAGAGGATGAGGTGGTCTTTTTTATTTCTGTTTTCTCAGTACACTAAAAAGAGTCATCAACAGAAAGTGGGAGGCAGTTCTGGAGGCTTGATGAGAGAATGTAGCTGTGAGGTAATTCACCTTGTAAAATAGGAAAGTCAGCACACCAGGGAGCCACAGTAGATTGCAGGGCATTCCTAAAGACCTGCTTGAAAATTGTTCTTGTAAATTTAAAACAAGACTGGTCAGCGTAATTGTATGTTTTCTACAGCCACATTTAGCTCTTCAGATAAAGGATAAAATAAGCTAAAATTTGGTTTAATCAGAACTGAAGTTTGCCCGAATGATAGTCAGGGGAGGGCAAGGGAAGGAAAAGAGACAGAAAAGGGAATGGCTATGGTGGCCATCCATGGACCTGAGCAGCAGAAGAACGAAAGAAAGTGAGAACATGGACAGTGGCTGCCCAGTGGTTTCCAGTTCTGGGAGGTTGTCAAGATTTGTCCAAGTGCAGGTTTTTGAGAAAGAAAGCCAGAAAGGAAGGGTGCAAAAGTGAGTGGGGTATTGGTGAGTGGTAGGAGTGATGGGTAAGGACAGCGGAGGGTGTGACGACCACCCACTTGTCTGCTCCCCTTCAGAGCAGAACTTCAGGGAACGGATTCTAGCTGGTGTCTTCACTTCTTTCTCCATCCTCTTTGGTCACCTTCTGTTCTCATTCCACTGACATTTAGCCTCACATGCCGGTGATCACCTCCCTGTTTATACTTGGCCTCCCTGGTCTTGCCACTTACAACAAAAGTCTTTTGGCCTCAGTGACTTGTATTCTTAGCTTCCCTCCAGCCTCACTACTTTCCAGGCCTTTCTGATATTCCCTCTCCTCTGCTTGACCCCTGCGTGTTGACATAATCTAGGACTTGGTCTTGGGCTTCATTCCTTTCTCTCTGCTCTCCAACTGGATGATCTCTGGTTTCATGACTTCAATACCACCTACAAACTGATGGCCACCCACATTTACTCTAAAGGGTCTCAGACTTAGGTATCCAACTGCTTACTGATCTGTATCTTTACTCAACGTCTAATGAACATCTCCAAATTAACATATCCAAAACAGACTCTGTCGTCGCCTGCACCCTGAAGCCTAGGCCTCTTTCGGCTTCCTTATCCCTTCATCCGTGCAGTTTCTCAAACTAAAACTTGATGTGTCATGCCATGCTAATGTGTCATGCCAACTACTCCATTGCCTACGCCTGTATCCAGTTCATTCATTCATCCAACAGAGAGCTTCAGCTGTATGCCAAGGGGCTGGGAAACATCAGTGAACAAAATACACAAAATTATCTGCACTCAACAAATTTAAATGTAATGAGATAAGCCAAGTCAATGAGCGTTTCAGTTTTCAGTGTTTCCAAACTTAAGTTGGAAAGTCTGGGACACAATAGTGATCTTAAATAGGGTGACAGAAAAAGTGGAAACTGGAACAGTGAGACAGGTGGATATCTAAAGGAAGGAAACTAGACAGAAGACAAATACAAAGCCCCTGAGTCTTGAACATGCCTGGTGAGCCTGGGGTATAGCAGAAAGACCAGAGTGGCTGTGAGAGTAAAGGGGGTGAGGGGAGCAGAGCAGGGCTTCGAGGCTGTGGTAATGCTTTTATGCTAGATAGAAAGTAAAGGGATCACTCTGGCTGCTGTGTAAAGAAAAGATGTAAGGGGGATGAGGAAGGGAAAGCATCAGGTAGGGTGGCTAGTGCAGTAACACAGAAAGGAGTTCATGATTACTCAGATCTGGGTAGTTTATGATTACTCAGATCTGGGTAGTAGCAGAAGATACACTCTTTAAATAAGAGCCAAGACAGCGTCCTGATAGACTGAACATGGGGTGAGAGAGAGACTGATTCAGGGAGACCCCAAGGTTTGTGGCAGAGCAAGGAGAAGTAAAAGTTTGACAACTGAGTAGAATAAGTTTGGCAAAACACAGGTTTAATTTAGGACATGCTAAGCCTATCTGGTAGACATTCGGAAAACGATTGGAGTCCAAATTCAGGAGTGGATCTGAGCTAGAGATAAACTTAGATAAACAGCTAGACTGTAAACTTACAGTCCCTGGCATATTGATAATACAGACCATCGAGATCATCAAGCCAGTAAGTGTGATAGAGAAGTGGTCACAGGACTAAGCCCCCAGGTTCACCAACTCTGAGAGAGAGAGATGATGGCCCTAGCTGAAGCTGAGTCAGGGACTGGTGTGGACCCAACCAAAAAGTGAGTCCTTGAAGGCAGTGAAGCTGATATTTTGGCAAGGAGGACGGACTTTTCTCAATCCAACCATGGGATGGACGTGAAGATGGTGTAAGAGGAGGAATAAGACTGAGAGGACTTTAAGGTGTTAAAAAGAGCCATTTCAGGGTAGTGGAGGTCATAAAATCCTCATTGGAGTTGGTACACAAGAATGATGACAGAACTTTAGAAGGACTTTGCTATAAATACAAAAGCTGGAAAGAAAGGTGCAGTCAGAAGACCTTATAAAAAATATGATGACTCAGGGGTGGGCAGAAAGAATGTAAAGAACAGATTGGAGAATGTGCTAGAGAAGGTGAGAGGGGAGGGCATGATGGGGTTGGCCTCTAAGAGTGATGGAGTTGATACTTAGAACCCTGAGGGGTGGGTGCAAATACTGGTGCATGGGTTGACGTGGAAGGTGGTGGAAGTTCCTTCCTGGTTATGTCCACTTTCTTGGTAACCTGAAAAGCAAGAGCATGGTTAGATACTGAGGAGGTCCAGAGGTTTCCAGGGAAAGGTGGTATTGAGCAGTTGTCCAGGGCAGAGGCAGACTGAATAACCAAGGGGCATGTGTTGGCAGCACTGAGGGTCACTTGAGGTCAGTGGCCATGACCGAAAATAAGTCTAGCACTGTGCTTCTGTGCTTCTCCACTCAGCTAGGTGACTGCAGATGCTCATTTGGACGTACCTTAGCATGCCCA